GATCATCATCGTCATGATCATGATCATCATGATCATGATCATCATAGTACTCATCTGAATCATAGTCATCTTCATATTCATCTTGATAGTCTTCTCTTAGTGGTATTCTCATAACAGGGATAGCGTCTTCTTTGGCTCTTTCATAGAAGTCTGTTGAAGATGTAATAAAAATTTGTCATTTGAAATCATTCCCAATCACTTTAATTTGCGAAGGTCTCTCAAAAATTTAGATTAACTTAGAAATACTTACCATCTTCTATATCTAACTTTGGATATAATGCCCGCCGGGCTTTAGCATCTACAGCTTTCTTATTCACCGTGTATCTCATATCAAGTGTTCCATCAACGTTAGTTGGCCCTTTGGTTAAGGGACCGGAAGGCAAATGCGCTCGGTTTTCATGGTACCTCATATCGGGTTGTCCTTTTTTGCTGGTTGGCCCTGTTGGCGTCACTTTTTCAGCTTGGGGAGGTAGTATAACTTTGGCATCTACAGCTTTCTTAGTCACCGTGTATCTCATATCAAGTGTTCCATCAACGTTAGTTGGCCCTTTGGTTAAGGGATTGGAAGGCAAATGTGCTCGGTTTTCGCTGTATCTCATGTCAGGATGCCCATCACGTCTAATCGGTCCCACATGTGGCACTGTAACCTTCATTGATGCAACTGGAGGAGAATATACAACCTTGGTTTTGGCTGCTTCTTTGTTTACTTTGTACCTCATGTCTGGTTTGCCATCCATTCTGGTTGGCCCACCAGTCATTTGACGTGGTTCATTGAAGAGTTGCCGGTTGACTGAAGATCTCATGTCGTACCCACCACCGACATTGCGTCCAGGTGGCAGATATGCACTTCTGTTACATGAGTACCTCATATCTGGAGTACCATCCTTCTTCAATCGAGACATTTTCTTAATTTTCACTAAAACATAACACATTGAAAAGTTATGATGACATACTAAATAAAATAACTCAACCTTTGTCACTTTCTATACATACAGCCCGACTATTGATGTATTTAAGTTTTTAGTGTACGTAAGTTAAGACCTCATAGTTGTCATCGTAATAAACTGAATAGCTCATGTTAGTCGTCTCTCGTACATATCTCTGTTTCTATTTCTCGATTTCACATACTTGTTTAAATAGAATTGCAATGTTCATACATAGATGTTGTATCCAGTGTCTATTTGCATGTAAATATGGAAGGGAAAACAATATAATCCAAATAATATCCATTACGTGGCACAATTGTGTTTTGTAATGTTGCTTTGAAATACAGAGGTAATATACTTATTATTTGGATAGTGTGAAGACACAAGTATAATACCAATGATCTGACATGTAGTTCACGATATAATAACTATTTATTAATACTGTTAATGAAAGCATCGTCTCACAAGACAATCAAAGCATTAGACAACCAAAGTACAAGATTACTAGCCCTCAAATAGGCCATGGCTCATAAATAATGAGGAGGTGGGCTTTCATTTGGGAGAGCCAATAAAATATTTCTCAATGGTATATTCTAACTGCCCATTGCCATACATGGCTATGTAAACCAAGTAAACCCTGGTTAATTAATTTTGACACTTATTGAGAGTTCCTGTAAGAAGTCCAAGTATTCTAAAATAAATAGAATCCCATATGTTTCCTGGCCTGTGTCCTCTGGGAGGGTCAAGTTCCTCTCAATAACTGTGTGTGGCCAACTCGCACGCATGGACTTGCACCAGGATGCAGTGGAATAGGTCAGTGAAAGCAAGCTTTCCTTCCAGAATCATCATAAACAGCTACCAACCCCATTCATCATCTATACTGTCATCACAACAAAAAGGGAGGGACCCAGTAAAAAGCAAGAGTCAGACAATACAGCAGCACAAGGCATGTAGCTATTGCTATATTGTCATATATTGTGATGGCTAAACAAATCTTCTTGTGAAACACAGAGACCCTAATGCAGCTGAGACTTTTTATAGCGCACTCCAGTATGAGAAAAGAAGAAGCCATGAAACACGCCATCTCAAAGGTGGGGGCAGGTTTCTTTGCAATTCTAACAACCCAGAGAAGTATATCTGCAGTTCATCAACAGTGTCCAGTTTCTATTGACTCTCCTTGACATTAAAAGCAAATTGGCTAAGTACAGGGAGCGGTTTGCATCTCCATCTAAAAGAAACATACTACAGCACGCTAACTGACAAAAACACCAGTGAGCACAAAAGGTTTGGGAGACCTATGATGACCTATAAATCCACATAGATGTGTTCCTCCTCGTGGATGCCCTTGAGATCTTCTATGCAAACACCAGTATGGTCTGGATCCTGCCAGACGCATCGCTCAACAAAACAGATGTAGAACTCATACTGCTCTTTATTGAGAGTGGTTGTGTGGCGGGATTTCAATGGTCGCAGGACGTTATGCATGGACTAACAACCCACTATCATCTATTTAGACACAAACAAAAAGTGGTTGTTGACTGTCTGAGTTTAAGGCAGGCTATATTAGGTCATCCTGAAGAAATCAGATGGCTTTATCTTTGAGGTGGCAACAGAAGAGTAGCGCAATATGCACAATTCCACACCACATAATGGTTTAGAAAGAGCATGAGCTCCTAGGTGTTGGGGTAGCACCGACCAGGGTAGAAAAGAAGGATCTGTGTTACTGAACAACCCAAAAATTCGTCCTTTCAGCCGAAATCAATCACAGAATGCATTCCTATCGATGATTATGCTGCTTCGGTACGAGGACTGTCGCGTCTTTGCTTCTCAAGTTAAATTGTGCAATGGCGACCTGCAATTGTGTCCAAAATGTGACAAGAAACGGAATGATGTCATGTGGGGTGATACGTCAAGAGACGATAAACAGGAAAAAGAAACTGGATCGATCGCAGTAGGCCATGCAGGTATCGTGATTAATGAGCTTTTGTGCTTCTTGACTAACAAGATAGATGTCGTGACTACTACCATGTTAACAAAGCTGCGTATGGAGCATTTTGAAGATCAAGAAATCGAGTCTGCTGAACGAGTACTATACGACTTGTGTGAAAACACTATTCATTCGAGTCAGTTTATTAAACGTCAAGGACATCACAAGAAACAAAATAATTTGCGATTCTTCACGAAGCCGACGGGAATGATTTACCTTGCTTTGTTGTGAAAAATCTGGCAAACCTGCATCCTATCGACTTTACACACGTTGATCAGTGACTATGCAGGATATTAAGTTATTATGTGCAGAGTTAAAACAACTAAAAAATTCGATTCAATTGCTTCTGGCGTGTGCTGATAGCGTTGTAAAGTTAGAAAAAGAAGTGGGTGCACTCCATGGCGAGATGACCCTTCTAAAGCTAAATTGTCGCTGTAACAACAAACAAGCAGCCTGTCGGCTGAGATAGCTCCGTTGTTAGCAATGCACATTTAAATTAAGAACTAAAGATATCATTAGAAAATGAACAATATGTATAGTATCAAAGCAATCGGACTTGCTGTTTTCAACAAGATTTAAAAAATATCACTTTTCACCAAAAATGACAAAAATAATCATCAAAATTAGATAATTAGATATCACCACGAAATTAACAAATCTGAAAGAGGTCCACATGTAATACATATATATGTAATATAAAAGCAATCGGACTCGCGGTTTTCAACAAGAAGTCGAAAATAACACTTTTAACCAAAAATTACAAAAATATTCATCAAAATTAGAGAATTGAAGATATCATCATTCAATGAACAAATCTGAGAGAGGTCTACATGTAGTACCTATATATGTAATATCAAATCAATTGGACTTTCAACAAGAAGTCGAAAATATCACTTTTTACCAAAAATTACAAAAATATTCATCAAAATTAAAGAATTGAAGATATCATTACAAAATAAACAAATCTGAGAGGTCAACATGTCGTACCTATATGTATAATATCAAAGCAATTGAACTTGTGGTTTTTAACAAGAAGTCGAAAATATCACTTTTTACCAAAAATGACAAAAATATTCACCAAAATTAGAGAATTGAAGATATCAACGTGAAATGAACAGATCTAAGAGAGGTCTACCCAAGGCACATATGCACCAAGTATCAAAGCATTCAGGCTTGTAGTTTTCAAGAAGAAATCGAAAAAGTAAAACATTGACACGGACGACGACGACGGACAATCACTCATATGATAAGTTCCGCTCGACAAAGTCGACAGCGGAGCTAAAAAGCCATTAAAAAATTGCGTCAAGAGTTTTCTACTATGAATGAGGTTACAACTCCTGTCCCTAATGGATACGACTCTCTTTTACATAACAGTTAAAGTGACTCTATTGATGCAGTAACCGGGGCCAAACCTTGTGATCAACAGGCAAGTACACCTGCTCATATCATTAATATATTATTCATACCAAGAGGAAATCGATATCTTATGCTAATGCATTGATTACAATAAAGCCTGCACGTTCCATGGGGCTAATGAAGCATCAAAAACAAGTATGCAGACAAGGTATACGTGTCACCCCATGAATGAGCTCTGTAGGCCGTATGAATGGTTTTCACCACTTTGAAAAAAACGAAGCCGGAACCGTACCCAGGTAACAATCGGAAATGCAGGAGACTGCTTCCAATTGAAAGCTGTTCAATCAAAATCTGGAGTGAAACTTTTTGTAACCAGACTTGCCCCAGAGACTGTACCTGATTCAGCAATACATTATATGAAGAGTTTGATTCATATATATGCAAAGTGTGAGAAACTCAACTCTAAGTTCAATTCTTACGCATCATTTGTGATTACTGTACCACGTGACTCTATGGAGAAAGTGCTTACGCCCTCTTCATGGCCTGCTGGCATACTTGTACGTAAATATTATCAATCAAGATGATGAATAAAAAGTTAACTATCACCTCATATAACTGTCGCGGTGTCAAATCATCTGTTGAAAATGCCTAAGATTTATGTTCTAACTGTGATATATGTCTCACTGGCTCACCAAATCTGATCTTGAATTTTTACCTAAAATTAGTGATGAGTTCTATGCTGTCGAGGAATCTGGCATGGATGAGGAATCGAGAATACGTGTCGGGCGCCTGTACGGAGGTGTAGCAGTACTGTGGAGGAAAACACTTATATCCACGAAAATTAAACGTTACAATGATTCTCGGTTATTAGGATTAGAAATAGGGAATATGGATAATATGTTGACTCTCATTAATGTGTATATGCCTACTGACAGTGAGTACAATTACCATGAATACATTGAATATCTAACAAAGTAGGTGGTTTTATTGATGACACAGTTTCTAATTGTGTTCTCGTCATTGGGGATTGGAATGCTAAAGTTAATTCTAAGTTCAGTAAAGAACTTGATTCTTTCTGCACAGGAAATAGCCTCATATGTTCTGATGTTGTCTTTTGGGGGCACTGGGCACTTCATGTATTACAGTGAGACTCACCATACCAGGTCTATTAGTAACGTAAAAATACTGCACGAATATATTGGATCAGATCATTTCCCATTGAGTATTAAATGTAACTGTGATTGTCTACCAAAATTTAAGGCCTAGTCTAGTGCAAATAACTCTGCTATTCACAAATATGCACACCAGACGGAGGCTATGCTGTCCTGCATTTCGTTACCTCATGATGTGTTATCCTGTCGAGATTCTGCTTGCCTGGATGTAAGACATCGATTGGCGATTGATACACTCTGTGATGAAATTGTTAATGCCTTGACAGAGGCGGCTACTAATGGCATACAACAAATAATTATGTAAAAGATCATCACACGATTGCACGAGTTAGGAGGACCTAGGTAAGGTCCATTGTCCGATTTAATGCGTTAAACTCGAGCTAAATTTAAATATGTTCTGAGACTTTGTGAAAATAAAAGTAATATGAGGGCTGATGCTCTTGCAAGTAGTCACCTTGATG